AGGGGCAGTCTCAGAGTCTTGAAGGATGGGTCTGGACACCGTTTTACCAAAGATGATGACATTTTTCGGCGATGGAGGGAGTACTCTGAGGAACTCCTTAACCCTGCGCAATCGCAGGAAGACTCCCTTGTACAGCAGCAGGGAAGGGATATTACTCTTTCTGTAGGTGAAATCAATACAAGCCATGAAAAGCTTTAAAATAGTATAGGCTGCTGCAAATGAATAAATCTGCCATGAAATGCTCAAAGAATTAGACGAACAAGGCATATGCTAGCTTACACGTATCTGCCAAACTGCAATGGCTACGGAGAAGACATCCGTTCACTGGGAAACGGGGTTTGTTTTATCCATATTCAGGAATAGTTATCACAGGAAATGCTTCAATTGTCGAGGTATTACCTTATTGAGCCTACCGTGTGAAGTCTACTCAAAGATGAAAGGAGGTGTCGCAGAATGACTGACTCCAAGATATAAGAAGGGCAGTGTAGCTTTCGGCCCGGTCGAAGCACCTCTGACTGCATATTTGCCTTGCGCCAGATTGCTGAGATATCGTGGGAGTTCGCCCACCCGGTGAACAAGTGCTTTGTTGACCTAGAAAAAACCACTTACCGGATCCCGCACAACGGTCTATGGACGTGCCTGCTAACATATGGGTCGATGGCCAGTTGCTGCTGGCCATCTTATCACTATATTCTGATAGCAGGTACTGCATAAGAGTAAATGGCGTTAAATCGAAGCCTTTCAACGTTGGCACTGGTTTCAGTCAAGACTACGTCCTGTCCCCTATCCTGTTTGTGTCGTACATGAATAGAATAGCCAGGAGCAGCCATGGCGATGAGTATATCGGTGTAAGAGATGCGAAGACGAAAAGGTTACTGTTTGCAGTCGTCCTTGTTTTACTGGCATCTTCTGAAACTGAAATCATGCAGTCACTGGTAAGAACCTCAGCTAAGTGTTGCGAGGCGGGCACGCGTGTAATCTTATCTAAAACGAACAGCTTAGTGCTTCCTGATTCTCATATTTGTTGCTTTCTTCAGATCAACGGAGAGGCAGTGGAGCAGGTGGAGAAGTTCAAGTACCTCAGAGTCGTGTTCACTAGTGATGGAAAGTTTGAGGAAGAGATCGACCTGCAAATTGGAGTAGCTAGTGGCGTTCTCCACGAATTAGCCCGACCCATTGTGACGAAAGCAGAGCTCAGTCTGAAAACTAAGCTCTAGGTGCTCAAGTCGATCTTCCTTCCCATGCTTACCTACGGTCATGAGTCGTGGACCATCACTGAAAAACTTTCAACCCTGGTATAAACTCTTGAAATGGACTTTCTGAGACGATTCGCTGGCCCTCGCGTCTTTACATGGTGCAGAATACAGAGATCCACGAGAGCCCTATTGCGCAGCCGATGCTTCTTCAGATTGAGAACTCACGGCTGCAATGGCTTGGCCATGCGTTGCGAATGCCTTCAGAAAGGAAGGCCAAGCAATTGTTTCTTGCGAAACCTATCGGCAGAACACCTAGGGTACGGCCAAGATCAACGTGGTACAAATATATGGAAAGAGTCTGTTCTAGACTCCAGCTGTCTTTTTTCGAAGCTCAGACTCAAACACAGGATGAGGAGCATTAGGAACATACTCAGACGCTTTTCCCTCCGCGATCCGATAGGAGACACAATCATGGAAGGTGAAGAGGCTTTTGCGGCAGATAGCGCAGCCAAACCCCTCGCTCTACGCATCTTGCTGCTGGTGTTGCTCACAAGTTAATTAATTGATACTCGTTTCTCGGTTAATTACGGTGTGGGAACAGGGGCAATTCTTTGCTGAAGGAAATTGGCGATTAATAGAAAATGTAATTGTCGTACAATATTGGAACCTGCTGTTTCCGAATTTTAGAAGCTATTGGTTTATGTTAAAACTGCTGCGAATTTATAGTTTTTAAGGATGGTCAAATCATGGTTTTGATGTTTATATTAGCAGATTTATGATAATCCAGTGCTTGGTGGTCAGCGTTTCGCGAGAAATTGATGTTTGAAATGTTTGAGTAGTCTATTCACTCCATTTGAGGCAAGTTAAGAGAGGGAGTGGTTTGCCTTTTGTCGATGATTTCATTTTAACCGTGTTCCATTATCGATATTCCAGTTGGAGACAAATCCTTGTCCGAACCAAGTTATGTTCCAATGCTGTAAAGCTTTGAAATCGCGCAACTCATAAAACAGGAAGCACACTACCATAACGGAGGGTGTACCTCATCGTTGGCAGCGTCATAGTGACGATTATTATCCAGTAGTGCATAAACGTCATTCGCGACAAAGAATGATGTCTTTGTGAACACTGCGCGAACTGGACTATTCTTCTTCATCTTGTTACCCTCAATATAGAAGCATGAACTGAAAACCCACCTTCTACCGAATTCAGCTGTGGCAAACAGCAGGAGCTAACAAAACTGCAAGAGCGTCTCGGATATCGTTAAGAAGGTTCATGAGATACGGATAACAAACGTTAACAAAGGCTTGATTAAGTGTTTGTGTGCTGTTATGTTAAGCATTCCTGTATAAGTTTATGCCTACCAGCACAAAAACAAAATGCTTTATCTTCTACAGACCTAGCGTAAAAGAATGGACTACTGCAAAGTATTGAAACATCAAGTAAAATCAACGTTGCAATGATATTTTGTTGCAGGCTTTTCTTAATTCGTGACTCACGATCAAGATGTCCATGATGAGCCAAGTGCGGCGTTTAACATATACGGCTGAATAAAATTATTTTGTAGATCGCCAATTCCGTTTATATCACATTAGTTAGCAGGCCGTTGTAAAGTTAAATATAAACCATTATGTAATTGGTGCTAAAGGTCCTGTCTACTTACAGAAAGACTCGAAACAATTAAGCTAATTGATTGGTCCCAAATGGGAAAATAAACGATGATATTCTGTGTAGTGAAACCATGGGAATCTGATCTACGGGTTATGAAGGTATTGAAGGGTATCCACAAATAAGCAAGAATTTATCGCAAGAGTGAACTACTAAGAGCGAGAGTGAAAATAGCAAACACGTCTTAGCTGCGTTTGTAGGAACTTTGGGAGCTTAGACAAAGCATTGCTTATGGGAAAGCGGTAGAACGCCACCACATGACACTCAAGGTACGTGTTACTTGATTTCAGCACAGAAAAATAGAATAGAATTTAATTCCTGATCTTTTATTGAAGCTATCATTGAATTCAGTCAATGTAAGCGAAAATAATTATTATCACAAGTGTTAAAGTTTGCTGCTCGAATAATACCACTCGAAAACTTCACGCAAAATCCGTTTCGTCATGTTGCCTGCTCATCTAACGTATGGGTGCCAAGCATCAGCAGGTTGTCTTGGCAAAAAGCATAACGCGTGGCATCTACCAACGATTGTCGGAATTGTCGGAAAATGGGCGTCCTGCGTTTCTGAACAAGTGTCGCAGTCGACCATTCATAGCGAAGGGAGACGACGGCGGTTTGGGAGCAGTCATGTTTAGACCAGAGGCAGCGACAAAGCTGGAAGCCGGTGTTGAGATGTAGTAATCTAAAATACGAGACTGTTATCGAAAACACTTCATAAATTCATGGTTTAATGCCTGTGGGAATTACGATATTGACTAGTTCAATGGCCACTAAATTGACCAGCACGATCCAGCAAGGCACCCTAAGCAGTGTTCGATTGTCGCACGAAAACTGCAGGCATACCATCGAACACTTTTCCATATGCCGACGATCGGGAGTTTCTTGTTGTAGTTCGTGCAGAAGGATCTTCTTGAAACGGTATATATCAAATACCTAAAGTTGCGACGCATCAAAAGAATCCAACGTTAGTTAAGGATCATGCCAGAATAAAGTACTTGTGCACAGACGTTTCGACACAACTAACAATGCCAAGATACTTACAACACATTCTGGCTTCAAACGTCCCAACCGCTGTGAATGACAAAACAGTTGTCGAAGTCAGTCGACCAATATCCTTACCGTGAAGAAGTCACGTGACACGGCTCGAAACGTCGATGCTGGTCAATCATCCGATTGACACACTGTTTGAACTGTGTATGAATAAATCGTGTTCTAGGCTGTTTTCAACGAAAAGTTACATAAATAAAAGATGTCTGCTGCTGCGATGATTTCTCACAAGGTGTTGGTTGCTGAACCACTATTATCCGATGGTGCAGCTCGGCTGCAGAAGCATATCACAAACAGGCTGTCGCAAAATTGCAAATATTTTTACAGTATGTTTTAAAGCAGTGATCAAAAAATCATTCGAAAAACTGTCGCTGTAGAGACGTACATCCCTGTTGCATACTAGATCATGAACGACTCTTGCCTGTTTCGGAATAGCGAGATAGTCCATCCTATAATAGGCTGATCAATCTGAGCCAATTCGATTTTCCCATGTGAGATCATATATCAAGGAAGACAGCCTTTCTGTACATGTGCTTGTGATGAATATCTCATGATGCATTGAAGGCAAAAATGTTGTATAATGTTCAGTTAGTTTTATGAGCCGTTCTTTGAATAATATTCGCTATATCACATTGTAACGTCCGCCTAATTAAGACAAGGCATATGTGTCTTTTCACAAAAATTACATCTGTTTTCAGGTGAGATATTGCACAAATTTCTAAGAATAATTTAAGAAGTTAGATTTTATTGCTTAAACTGGCTGGTACATGGAGATTATTGACCCGATACTTGGAATTGAGAGACTCATTTCCTGTTTCATCCGCTTGTGGAATTTATAAATCTGCTGTACCGAATGGATTTCTCTTAAATTTTGCAAGCTGGACTCATTGCCTCTCTGCAGTGTTGCATATCGAAGGCAGTCATTTCCTGTACTGCCCATAAGGACAATACTGTTTGAGTACTCCAGAGCAGCAAAATATATCACCGAACATCTTGAACGGTGCATCCCTTCTAGAGGAAAACTCTCACTTTCGGTCAGGTCACGAATATTCATATATTATGGTTAATATATTAATATATCATGGTTCATGTTTCTCGACTTTCGACTGCACAACTCGTTAATCATAGCCCACATATCCTTCGTATTTGTGCAGACCAAATGGCAGCGGAACTCTCGTAATTGAAACGAGCAATTTCTGATATCAGCTGCTTTCACAAGCATCATTTAAACATGCCTTGTTTTTGGTCTGGTAATCTTTGTTTTGTTGCCAAATCATCCGGTTAATCTCGCCTGATCGGTATCCTATGTTAATTGCCTAAATGCTCTGCCGGGGCTACGGGCATCAAAAGACAAAGTTGACGCACGCCGTTAGGTTTGCACATGCTTGCTTGGGTCTTAGTCGTGGGACACGTCCCCACAACCTGTTGTTTCCGTTATTGATAGGAACTGGCCAAACCTTTCAGCATCTGATGACCTCTGAAGATCAACACGAGGACTGCGCTGTCTAAACGTGTGCTGCCCCTGTTTGCTGCCCATACGCGGTATGAGACGAAGGATTCAATGGTCAGAAGATCCAGGAGGCATAAAACTCCTAATGCCAAAACAATTGACTTTGTTTACCATTGCGTAATCCAGTCAGACCTAATGCTATGTAGGAAATAAAACGAGGTCAGTGAGGCGAAGAACCGTTGATTGTGTAAGGTAGTGTAGGTTATGGTCACCTAGGAACAAAGGCAGTTCACTGCTCACACCAGGGCCGACGCTGTTACGAAGTTTCTCCACAAATAAATAACTAGGCCTGTGCAGAGAGGGATTATGCATATATTACCACCGAGGACGCTGAAATAAATCGATAGGTACCTTGGCTTGTGTTCCACGACGAGACACTGTATATCGTATTCACAAAACTTGAACTTCTCTCAACAGTTTGCACACCAGATCGAGCTGAATCATGTCATTAAGCTGCCATCACGAGATTTTTCGTTTATTTTCCGCGGGCGACCAAGTGGTAACAAACGAAATCTTTCAAACTCCTGATGTTCTCATATTCCATGGGATGCAGCCCATATGCGGAATTGAACAGCAGCATCGCGAGAAGCACAATGAGGCTCTGCAAATCTACCTCAGTTGCTCCAGAATGATCTCCGGTTTCCTAGCCAGAGTTGGCAATGGGCTGACGCCGATGAAGTTCAAGCAGAGTTGCACATCCGCTTTCAAAACTAAGCACAATAGCCTGTTTTCATCATTCTAGCAATTTTCTTAGCCTTTTGTAAAAAAGGAAGATAAAACTTCTCGTAATCTAGTTTTTCATTGTTTGATTCACTCTTGGGAAGTATAATTAAGTACTACAGGTTTAATGAGGATCCATGCAGACAAAAGGCTGTCGGAAAGAAGCAACTCATTTGCTAATGCAGTTTTTGTAGTGAAATGGTAGCATATTTATTTCTCGGAATGCAGGGCTTCAATCACCCTTCCTGGCTGTCCTATTTCTAATTATCCTCTCTATTCATTCTCAAGGAAATACAATCAAACTCCAGCGGCCAGATTTAGTGAAATGCACAAATGTCGAAAAGCACCACTTTCATTTATGTACATCCAGAGAAAACCGTCAGAGATTTGGCAATGCAAATTACATCGCGAGCACAAATGAAGGATTGTCTAAGGCTATTCAAAATTCAAGAAGCTTCGTCTTAATTTCAATGAAACGGTTTTTAAAACCGGTTGCGAAACATACACGCGGAATCAAACTGACTTTAGGCTTTCAAATTAAGCTTACGTTGAATCTTTGAGCTCCATATGACGTTGACGAGCCCAGTTGTTCCAGCCTCGCTGATATTATATGCTCATTTGACCGGTGTCTTTTCTTATAGGGCCAATTAAGAGAGCTTCTCATGCATTTTAAACCAGCTCTGTGCAGGAGCAGAACACTGATTATGAACTTAGCCGATAGATTCTGCAGCTATGTAGGCATTAATCTTGAATAAATGGCTGAAACTATTCCCTATTCCGCCATCTACATCTTATATTAAGAATAGCGTTCTGACGGCAAGAAGAACGGTAGATCTGGGCTATGCTTAACGGTTAGATGAAAAAATTAGGAAATGGAAAAATAACACCCATTGTACTGCTTGAAAAATCAGGACCTCTGGAATTTGGCACATTAACATTACTCAATATGTTACATTCACCTCGTCCTTCCTAGTGAAGAATCAGCTTATTGCTGTTATATTCGCTGTAAGGATTATAATTAATTTAATTACTTTCACGAAATTTTCTTCAACATGGAACAAACAACTATCTTCTGTCCGGTAAAGAGGCTTCAGAAATACGGGACAATGACACATTTTCTTCGCCCAAATGTTGCCATGCGAATCAATTTTTAGCGCCACTCCTCGTAAAAGGTCATCGAAAATTTCATAGACGATCTTCATGCGATCAAGATTCTGAAAACTCGATAGTCCAACCCTAAAGAGTGTAATAGTCAAAGTTAAATTTTCGTTCATTTACATTGGTAAAGTATTCAGTTAACCAGAATTAATTGAGAGAGTCTCAAATTCAGCAATCTATAGACTAAGAACGCTGCAGATTTCAAACTTTCCATGATTTCGAACAATGAATTATCTGAAGCCATCTGTGGCCTAGTAAAATGAATGAAAAATATATGAAATGAACCGTAAATCATCATTATGAGTCAAACGTATAGTTAAAGGGTCTTGCTTCTGCACTTAAGGAATATTTTTCCTTTTATTCGTTCACAAACAAATATTAAAAAAATCTCTGTTCAAGTTTAACCTGCATATGCTTCAAGGTTGATCTAGAAAGTGGTGTTTCAGCTGGAATACAGAATTTTTTAGTAGCTGTATTTCATATTGATTTCGTTTGTCATTAACGTGCTTGAATGCATTACGAATAACTGATTTCTGACAGGACATAGTCATACTTATTATCGACAAGTGCTTAATTGGGTACAATATCATACCGTCAAAAACTACCAGTTATACTATAAAATGATTTAATTTCAAGGGTTTGCTTACAATTATAATCATCATCGAAACAGTAAATGAATCACATATGACGGGGGCTTGTCCTGCAGTTAAATCTGTAACACGCCAAAATCTTTACTCGTATGATTAACTTGATATTTGTACGTGTACTTGTAAGATTTGTACATGATACTTATAAGATACCTGTAAGAAGTTTATGAAAGTTGCGCATACGAAATCCTTCTTTTATCACTCCGCAGTATGTATCAATGGTCCTGTTTTTGCAGGCAGAGCTGCAGTGGCATTCAGTCGCACTTCCCGAGTCTATCCGTAGGCGCTGTTGCTTTTTACAGCATACTTTCAGACAAAAATCTGAAGGGCGATAGCTTTGGTGAAACAGCGTCAATTTAGCAAGAACCGCCTAATTTGGAAATGACTTACTTCAGCAAATCAGAAACTCCGCCGTTAACACTCCCAAGCCTGGACCAGAAAGGAGGAAGGTTGGAGACCGTCTACGTTAAAGTTCGCCACC